CCTACCCAGGATCAGCTGGTATCTCACATCCACAGCTGGGAGCAGAAATATGACGACACAGTGAAAGACTTGAGTGAGTCCTCTGTTCTATTCTTTTGTCATATTCTGTGTCATGGCGCGGTGGAATCAGGCTCTTGTCAGTTTTGGGGCATGTGAAGTTATTGGAATTATCTTAAAGCTTGTTCATTTGTCTTGCTTTGGATGAAAGAAATATCCATTTATCTTGAATACAAGTGGAGATTTTTGCGAATGAAGGAGGTGGGGTCACCTGGTTTTAGAGGTGAAATTTGTGAGAATATGGCCGCCAAAGATTAGTCATTTCCTTACCTGAAGAGTCCATGGAAACTGAAATTTTACATTTTTTGTGCCTTTAATCAATATTTTTCAGTAAAACCCAAACGGAAATGTGTTCTTTAAAGAGCGTGAAAGGTGTTGAGCCTAAAAAAAAACCCAAAAAACAATTAATAAAAATTTAGAAACCTGCTGAAAAATGCCGATTTCTTCACTTTCATTATTTTGACGAGCGCCTGATTTCACCACGCTGCCTCACATATATAACAGACTGGCTAGCTTCCCGTTCAATGAACAGACTCAGAACAATCGATCGTCAAGTCGTTTTCACGCAAGACAAAAATCGGCTAATGATCAAATTATTGAAAGAGAGCTGTAGGTATCACCTAAAAGAGAAATTTAGATTAATCCTCTATTCCGCTTTCGCGGTTGTACACTCTAGAATTGCAATGGTGTAGAAACAGTGCGCACTGTTTGTGAACGGACGCCTCACATGTTTACAAAGGCTTCTTAGAAGACGGACTTTCCCAAGGTTAGATCTAAACGAAACTAATGAAACACTGAAAATTAAACTACAGTGACTTCAGACTCCTTAATATAATTTTGCACCCTTTGAATGATTCTGAACCTAAGCTATTTTTTTTAATTCGGAAGTTCATTGGTTCGGAAGTTTTAGGCGACCAAAGTGACGAGCTTTCACAAATATGATAATATGTGAAGCGTGCTGACAAAATGAGTAACTTCTCCTATTTTATCCCCATGGAAATAGATACATCACGCTTATAGGTGAAGTTTTTACTATCAATAAGTATGGTACCATAAAGAGCATGTTATACTTTAAAAATATGACATCAATAAGACATCTGGAAATTTGATCCTATTGTCGATTTTTTGTTAATATCTCCATTTGTGGATTGCGAGAAGTAACCCATTTTGTCAGCTCCTATCACATATGTAGATATAGATATAGATAATATGTATAGAGGAAATTCCCGCTCAACAGCAAGCTCTATGCGCCTTACAAAATCTATAGTATTACTCCAGCACACCTAATGTCATTCTGAACAAAATCTCACCTTTCTGGGAAGCATACAATGTCAGCTGCCAATTCTACGGGCGCTCAAACACTGACATACTGACAAGATCTCTCCCTTTCTGTGACTGGGCACCTAACCGTACAAGGTGAAGTGAGGAAAATTGTGTAAAGTGCCTTTCCCAAAGACACAACCAATGGGCACAACATCGGGCCTGAGGCTCGAACCCACGAACCCGCAATCATACGATTACGAGTCCAGTAGCCTGATCATTCGACTACCAACACCGCTTGTACGCTGTTAGGTTAATAAAACCTGATGAAAGTTTGTTTGTTTGGTAAGTGTTTTACGGCGCTCGCAACTGCATAAGGTCGTATGAGCGCGCCTTAATAACAAGAGCACGCCTCGCTACCTCAGAATCACAAAGTTCTATCTATTCAGTACCTAATTTTGAGATATTTGACGTCAAAGATTTTGAGCTTCTCATCATGTCAAGCTTTTTCGAATACAATTCTTTGAATATGTTGATAACGAGTCCGAATAATCTGACGATTTTGAAGGAGCTGATAGAACATTTGGTTTCTGATCCCATGGTCTTAGTAACTCAAAAAGCCCCAAAAATGTCAGATATAACTTTGTAGCTCTGGGTAGCGATCTGCTGGGATGTATGCCTCCCAAATTCCCAAATGAGCTATATCGTTTCGATGGGGGCTTTAAAAACCACACAAAAAACCCTCACTTACATTTAAAAAATTAAATGTAGTGTTCTGAAGCCAGCTGGGGTTATAATTCAAAATAGTCTTTTATGTTTTATTTTGTTTTCTTTTAAAATGTAGTGACTGTCATATTTCTCCCATGTGGTCTGCGTCTGTTCTGTTGTGGACACCCTTGCTGTTATAAGGGCTTCTTGCTTTGGTAAGTGTTTTACGGCGCTAGCAACTGCATAAAGTCATGATGAGCGCACAGAACACGTTAAGCAATTTCAGTTTTGTAGGAATTAAAATGTAAATATTGCCCGGATGGCAGCCGATGCCTACTCTTATCGATTTTAGAACCACCGAGGGATCTTGAAAGTGCGCAACCTGCACTCTGTTAGGACTTCAACAGTTGCGACGACATCGTTGATTTTACTAAGAAGTTTACAGCACTTGCAACACAATAAGGTCGTATACCTGCCGAACATTAGGGTGTTACAAGAGAGTAACATACACACACACACACACACACACACACACACACACACACACACACACACACACACACACACACATAAAAGAGCACAGATCAGGTAAGATGGAGGTTTGGTGTGACGACGAGAGAGGAAAAAATGGACAGACACTGTTGTGGTGACGGGTGACGTACACTTGCCAACAAAGAAGCCAACTGAACAAAAAATAAATCATAACTATATTACTTTCAAATTGTAGCACGCGCCTTATTTATTTTCTTCATTTCAGCCGGACAACTGGACGCGGCTTTTGATGAAATTGACTATTTGAACAGAACCCGACAAGGTAAGCTTTTCTGTGAAAGCACTTTTTTTAAATTTCAATTTTTATTATTATTA